GTATAAATATGCATGGGACAACAGATGGATTACCCGTCTTTTATTATCCGTCTAGATGAATTAAGATAAACTCAAGTGGATGATTCGTCCAGCCAAATAATCCGCCAGCGTTTATACAATAATTAGTAGGGATCACCAATAAATATCCCGAATCCCGCTTACTGAAATCTTAATTATCACGCGACGTTCAGAAATTCTAAATCCCGTTCATTATTTCCCCTTGAATCCAGTTTCTCGTTAGTCAGCGAAGAGTCAAACTGTGAGCACTCTTCTCACATGCGACGGAGGTAAAAATATAATTTAGAAAAATGCATATTGGAGGAATCAAAGTCCATTCACAGAGGTGAGAGATACATCCATGCATTAGGGGATATATATGTTTACATGACCCGCGGTTTGCCGGTGCCGGGACGAGATGGAAGGTGGGATGATTTTGATGTATTGAAATAAGTCACTATATAGGCTTAACTGAAATGTTGGCGAGAAGATCTCATGGTTCAAAAAGATTATAATTGCTGTTTGAACAACTTTTCGTTTGCAATTATGCTATAATCTTCGATACTCAATAGGAAAATAATGTTTAGTTTAGCCCAATCATAAATCGTGACTATCGTCATATGTCAAAATGATCCGATCTCATATCTCGTCCGGGCAAAGCCCCTTAATCACCGTGTCACCAACAGTACTACACCAACTGGGCAGTATTATTAATTTAATATTTTCTGTATTCATTCTTACAGGTGAACACCATCTTCAAGACGAAAACAGGTACAATAATTTCTGCTACACACTGCAAAAAATCCCTGAGTATTTCAACTCGAAAGCTTGAGTAAAGTAAAGCACTCACAGTGACTCAAAATTTTGAGTAAAGTAAATGCGTACAGGAAAAATAAATTTCCATTAATGGCTTTTGAATGGTTTTTAAAGATTTACCATGTTATACTATCAATGTAAAAACTGAACTTTTACCATCGATCATTGCTTAAATTGGTAAACAACCATGATGTTTAATATTTACCATTAATGGTATTTCCCTGGTAAAAATCAAACATCATGGTTTTTATTAAATTTACCATTTGGGAAATCTAAAATAGCCAATAATGGTAAGAGTTCAGTTTTTACATTCAAAAATCCATTAATGGAAACTTTCCATGTGTTATAAAAGTTATAAATATGAGGAATATACGATAATATCAATGAAATTTGAGGAATATACTGCTACTTTTCTTTTAACTGACAGATATTTTTTAACCTGAACAGAAAGCCTGATCTCTTCAGTGATGGGAGGTTACCAAACGTTCACGACAAATTTCTTGAAAAAAACAAATACATTTGGCAAGATTGTGAGGGATTTTAGACTTAATCTGCAAATGAATTTCTATTTGATATTTGCCTATGCTTTTTCTTGTCGTTATAGACCAATTGGTCCCCGAACCAACGGAGCGCCATTCCGGACGTAAGCCCGGGGCGAGGGTACTAATTCCGCCAATCTATTTACCCCCGGGGTCCTAAAGGAAACCATTAGCACAGAATAGATACTAAACCAGAAGTGTCACTCAGACGATATTTCGTCCGAAATTTTACGTGCTGACGTGAAAATACGCCATCATATGACGCCATCCTGGAGTGCACACGGAAGTTTTTCCTAGGAAAACATAGGTATACGTGCCGTGTGCACTCCAGGATGGCGTCATGGCACGTAAAAAATTTCGGACGTTTTTCCCAAGCCAAAACACATAGGAGTGACACTTCTGATCTAGTATCTTTTCTGTGGCATTAGCGAAGTCTAATCTAATCTAAAGTTCATCAATAATCGCGGGCGTGTGTTACCGTGGGTGGGTGGTCATCCTCAATGATCTCAAAATATAATGGACTATCACGAATAGTGAACACTAATTTTTCCAATTTAAAGTTTGCCTTATAACGACTGCAAGTAGTAGATAACCCCCCCCCCCCCATATAGGGGCCAAAGGGTTCCGACAGTGACGTAACAATAGGAAGGATTATGTAACAATGGAAAAGTAATTAACATCAATTAACATCAATTAGCGATCACGCTACCTTGAATGTTAATCAGGGATATCGATTGTTTATTAGAATAACAATATGATACCGTTATCGTTTAAATAATGACATTCTGGTATCGGTATCATTAAATCGAATTCAATGAAGCATCAATTAGCGTCTCGTGGTCATTGTTATCAAAGAAACAGAATACCGTTATCATTGAAATAATAACACGGTGATCTTATTAAAATAACAATACGATGATACTGTTATCATTTAAATAACGACATGATGATGTCGATAGCAGTATTATTATAAATAGGCATAGCAATTTCGTTTTTCTGTCAGCAATCTTATATACCGTAGTAATCTCACAATTTTGTGAACAGGAAAAAATGAGTTTTAAACGCAACGTAGCAGCACAAATCACTAACGGTTGGGGAAATAATGCACATGTTGATGAAGTCTCAAAGACGGAATATCAAAAGCAATTCAGTTTACTCGAAGCTATATTTGCTGATGCCGTGGCAAGTGAAATCAAGCAACTCTGTGAGGAGTATTGTTGTGGTTGTAAAATAGATCACCCCAGCCAACGACAGCATGATTGCCTCATGATGGATGAAGATGAAAGATGGGAAATGTATGGTTTTGATGCCATTGAACGTGTGAATAATAAATGTATGATCTGGGATGAATTTGTTGAAGCAGCAAGAGTGCTGAAACTCAGATGTCACAAAGATGTCCTTGATCATTTGCGGCAACTGGAAAAAACGCCAGATTCTATGTTTATTCAATCATTGAGGGATTTGCATTCGGGTACGGCAAATCGTGAACTAGAGTGTGTCTTGAACTATCTATCTTACTGGAGAAAAAAGTAATTGCGTGTATTGTATAACTTTGAACGAGTTTGGGCGGAAACATGTGACGTCACCGGAAGCTTAGACATTATGTACTTATAAAAGCCGTGTGAATGCAGAGATTTTTATTAGTAACTGTTCTTACGATAATGAAGTGTCTACACGGAAAATCAGCATCTACTTCAACTACCAGCAACGGATCTTTTTGGTTTTGTGGACAGAATCCTTCTTGTCATTTCGTACGCAAAATCTGAACGTTAGAACAGCACGATCTGTTCAACCAAACTGTCTCCAATTCCGCACGAAGAAATGCTATACAGCGACATACCAACAGTCGTATACAATCAGATCAACAAGGATCTGGAATACTTTACCAAAACTCATAACTAATAAATCTAATTCTTTATATACCTTTAAAAAATATTTACTTGACTACTACCTCTCTACTTTACAACTTAATTCTAACATAGATGATCCTCGTTCGTGGAAAACAATTTGTTTAAAGTGTAATCGGACTCATGATCTCACTAAACCTCTTGCATGCTGTTTTTAAATGATAATTTTTTAAGAGACAATGTGAATGCTTTGTATAGTTTAAGATAATTTGTTTGTTGTCTAATGGGATCACAGTAATTGGTCAAAAGCTGTCGTGAATACCCTGTCACAATTGTTGTAAATTGTTGTATTGTTAGATCTATATAGTGCATTTCGAGTTATCTTGCATCTACGGTTTTCATGTCTGTTTTAGTCTGTTTTAATATGGTTTAACAGTTTGTTAGTCCTGGAAAACGATACATGTAAGGATAGCTCGGAATGTGTTATAGTCATTATAGTATTTAGATATGTAATTTATATTGTGACGAAGTTTATAAAATTAAAAAAAAAAAAAAAAATTTTGCTCAGAAGAGGACGGCTATCGTTTTGAAAAAGCAATAATAGCTTGGAAATCTGCTGGCGCCCATCAACCACAATGCCATGAACATCAGAAACTTGCAAGAATGCGAATAGTTAAAGATCCAATGAAAGAAGACTATGGAAAACCATTTTTCGTCTGTTCTCACCGTGAAAATCCTTGTTCTTTCTGGCAATGGGGCGATGTATTGTCGCCGAGACAGTTAGACCAAACTGCCGTCATCGTTTTCCGTGCTGTATACGGAAAGTGAAAAAAGAAGGACTTAATAAAAATCGTACGTTTTTCTGCTGTCCAAATGGAAAGGATAACTCATGCAGTTATTTTGAATGGACTCCCAGTGAAGAAGACATTCCAATCTGTCCATGTTTCGAAGTGAACTTTAGCATGCCACCCTCGTATAATTATACCATTAAACGGACAGGAGAGAGATTTACGAGTCGTTGTGGGGACAGAATGAAAGCTTTTAAAGAACATTTGGAAAACAAATCCAAAGACAATTTAACAAACACTTTTGAAAATATGAAGTTGTAATATTATTTAAGTATTTTACTCGAATTTCTAACTTGCTTTTACATGTTTTTATGATGTAATGCTAATTTTTTCAATAAGTATCATTGGTAAATTCGATGTTATTTACTTTGTGTAGTCATTTGCTAGTACTTGCGGCGGTGTTCAGTATGGATATCATTTGCGACAAGTTGAAGCAAAATAACGTAGATATTGACAAGGAGACTTTATCCTATCATATTAATGTTATCCTTAATAAGAATCATGAACTATACGAAGCAGCAAGAGTCCAATCTTTAACAGTAAACCTTAGTCGGTTTTATAAAGAAATAAACGTAACAAATTTTGGACGATTTATTGCTTATTCAGCACTAGTATACAGAGCTAGTGATTCCCTGAATGAGGAAACTATTCGTCAGGCAGTAAGACTATCAGTTGAAGTTATCAAAACATTTAACTTGGAAAAATTTAAACGCAGTAAAAAATCTTTTCGAAGCGTTTTTGTAATGATGTCATTTACACTAGCGGTCCTTTATGTCATTTAAGTATCGTCCAAATTACCATGCGATGTTCATTTGATATTGACCGTTGAGGCGTAGGCATGACTTCTTGTTGTGAGTGTTTTCCACAAATAGCTCTCCGTAATATATTTCGGAGGATCCGCTGTATTTCCGCTTGTTGTGGAGGGAGTATTGTGATTCAAGCCTCTGACATTGATGGCAGAAAAATATCTAAGCCAACTGTACTACAATCCAGAACATCCTGCAAGTTTTGGAGGCGTAGATTCAATTTACCGTGTTGTAAAAGAGGAAGGAAAACATCAAATATCGCGGAATAGAATACGGACATGGTTAAAAAAGCAAGACACATGCACATTACACAAACCCGTACGGTTCAATTTTAAACGCAATAGGGTTCTAGTGGGTGGCTTTGATGAACAGTGGGAAGCTGATCACGTTATTATGGACTCGCTAAGTAAACAAAATAATGGTTACAACTACCTTTTGACCGTTATCGATGTCCTAAGCAAGTACGCATGGGTTGAACCAATTAAGACGAAAACGGGCGAGAGCCTCGTTCAGGCGTTTGGAAAAATAATTAAGAAGGGGAGAAAACCTGAGAAACTACACACAGACAAAGGCACAGAGTTTACGAATAGAATGTTCCAAAAGTTTTTGAAGGAAAATAATATTCGATTCTTCGCGAGCCATAACGAAACCAAGGCCTCAATTGTGAAAAGGTTTAATCGTACACTGAAAGGAAAGATGTGGAAATATTTTACGGCTAAAAACACAGTAAAGTACATTGACATAATTCAGAAGTTGGTCAAATCATACAACCATTCCAGACACCGTAGCATAGGAATGAAACCAGCTGACGTGAATAAAGATAACGAAGGTTTTGTGTGTCAGAAACTGCATGGGGAAGAAC